GGTGTCCGTCCATCGCGGCGAGGGTCTTCCTCTCTGTAGGGCCCCTCCGCTTTACCAGCAGGATGCCTTCTCCAGGGCCTGTTCTGTCCTCACAGCATGTCCAAGTGTGTCAGGTGAAGTCTTGCCATTCTCGCCTCTAAGGAGCTCTCTGGCCTTATTTCTTCCAACACAGATCCTGTTTGTCCTTTAATCAGTCCATGGTACTTTGAATATTCTTCTCCAGCACCACAATTCAAATACATCTATTTCTCGTCAGTCGTCCTTATTCAGTGTCCAACTTCCATATGCATATGAGGCAATGGAGACAGTTTGTGTTTGGTCAGCATATTGTCATGTGACCTTGACGGATCTCAGCTCTCTGTCAGCCTCCAGTCCGTTTCTCTCTGCTGCTGATGTTTCTCCTCTTACCTAAACTACTACTATTCCTCCTCAGTGCCAGCCTACAGTTCTTTCCTGCGTCCAGGCCCTCGCCGGTCCCCTTGTGTAGAGAACACATCTAACCAACCTGGGCTTCCAGCCACCACCCTTTTGCCTGCTAGCCCCTCGTTCGACAGTGTGAACAGTTTGCAGAAGGGAGTGGACACGATCACATTTTCATTTCTTGAAGACGATTTTCAAACTCAGGCATCGGGTCTCCAGTAAATGGCAGTTTTGCAATCAGTGAAATATGAATCGCTGTGTTTGGCTAAGTATAATTAGAAGAAAAATGAGGTGATATCTTCAAATCTAATGCAGCTGTGGCAGAAATGCCACAAGGCAATGACTTTACCAAGCGGACACACAGTTCAGGAGGCTACAAGTCCAAATTCAGGCCGTCGGCTTTGAGGAAAGGCTCTCTTTTTTGAGGGAAGGTCAACTCCGTGGAAAGGTCCTGTCTTCTTTCAACAACGGTGGACTCATCATCTCTCAGATCTCCGTGTGTCTTGGCACCAGTGTACTGCTGGGTTTAGGAGGTTCTCCACACACATTCCATGGATTCAAAAGATGCGTGTCACTTGTGGCTCTTTATTAGTGTCTGCAGGTCCTTCTTTATCACGAGAGGTCAACAAAGAGAGAAGCAAGCAGAGCAAAAGTGATGCCAGCCACACTACAGGGAACGTTTCCTTACGTCACATCAGGGCTGAGACCTGAGCAAGAGGGTTACATTTCACCCAGATCTCCTTAGGATGGATTTGCTGATCAAACTGATCACATCATGGAGATGATGACATTTTTAGGTCACTGCAAAATTGCATCATTGCATAAATGTAAATACCCTTTTCAGACACCAAACTCAACTGAATAACTTTTTTTTTATCATTTCATTGGGGGCTCATACAACTCTTATCACTATCCATCCATCCATCCATCCATGATGTCAAGCACATGTGTACATTTGTTGCCATCATCATTCTCAAAACATTTGCTTTCTAATTGAGC